CGAGGAGCTAGAGTCAGAAAATCAAAAGGGCCGAACTCGCTCAGCATATCTTAAGCTCAAGGAACTGAAGAACAAATTCAAACCTCGATTTGCCATATTCAAGGATGTTTTAGGCAGAATATTAAATGATCCAGGAAGTATTAAAAGAAGATGGAAAGACTATACTGTATCAATGGTGATGAATGGCGATGAAGGAAGAAGTTCAGGTGCTTTGAAGAAAATAGCAAAAAATAAGGCCCCAGGAATAGATGGTATACCAATTGACATATTTTATATAACAGATGCTGCCCTGGATGTGCTCACCAAGTTGTGCCAAGAAATCTGGAGAACAGCCACTTGGCCAACTGACTGGAAGAGATCAATATTTTTTCCCATCCCAAAGAAGGGTGACCCAACAGAGTGTGGAAACTATACAACAATCTCATTGATTTCACATGCAAGCAAGATTCTACTGAAGATTATCCAAAAACTACTGGAACAGCATATCAGCAGAGAACTTCCACAAGTCCAGGCAGGGTTTAGAAGGGGTCGTGGTACTAGGGATATTGTAGTTGATGTTAGATGGATCTTAGCTGAAAGCAGGGAATACCAGAGGAATGTCTATCTGTGTTTCCTTGATTATGTAAAGGCGTTTGACTGTGCGGATCATAACAAACTGTGGCTGACTCTGAGAAGAATGGGAATCCCAGAACACTTGATCGTGCTAATGTGAAACCTATACTTGGACCAAGAGGCAGTCATCAGAACAGAGTAAGGAAACACGGCAAGGTTCAGAATTGGGAAGGGCGTATGCCAGGGATGTGTTCTGTCTCCATACCTTTTCAACCTGCATGCAGAACAGATTATCCAGGAGGCTGGGCTCTATGAGGAGAAGTATGGTGTCAGGATTGGTGGAAGATCTATCAACAGTCTGCGTTATGCAGATGACACAACCCTGCTTGCTAAAACTGAGGAGGACCGGAAGAGCTTGCTACAGAGGGTCAAAGACTGCAGCCTCCAGTATGGAATGAGGCTCAATGTCAAGAAGACAAAGATTCTCACCACTGGACCAATTGACAGCATCGGGATGGATGGTGAAGAGATTGAGATTGTTCACAGCTTTAGTTTGCTTGGCTCCACAGTCAACACTCTTGGCACCAGCAGCCAGGAAATTAAAAGACATATTGCAATAGGAAAGTCTGCTGTTAGGAACCTCTCCAAAGTACTGAAGAGCAATGGTGTCTCTATGGAGACTAAGGTGCATCTGATACAGGCCATGTTTTTTGCTATCACTTGTTATGCATCAGAGAGTTAGACAGTGAATAAGGAGGATAGAAGGAGAATTGATGCCTTTGAGCTGTGGTGCTGGAGAAGAGTATTGAGGGTACCATGGACTGCTAGGAAAACAAACAGATTCATCCTGGAAAGGGTTAAACCGGGCGGCTCCTTGGAGGCAAGGATTCTGAGGCTCCGTCTAACATACTTTGGACATGTTGTAAGGAGGGACCTGTCCTTGGAGAGGGACATCATGCTTGGTAGGGTGGAGGGACAGCGCTGGAGGGGAAGGCCCTCTATGAGGTGGATTGATTCAGTGACTGGGTTCATCGCGATGAGTGTGTCAGAGACAGTGCGATTGGCACAGGACAGAGCAGAGTTTAGGGCTGTTGTACAGAGCTGTTGTACAAGCGACTCGCAAGCACATAACAACAACAACAACAAAAGACTACTGATAGTCTTCTACTTGTATCTTTCATTGTTTAAATTAAAAAATATGCCAAGATGACTATTTTTTTAATGATAAGTTTTCATTTCCTTACAGAATAATTCTGCATCTTTCCTGTGCATACAAAGTATGTTTTTGTTGGAAAAAGAAAACAGTGTTCAAAATTTGCAACCCACTTAAATGAAAAAAAAAATCCCATGAGTTCTATAAAGAGAAGATATCAATGAAAATAGTAATTTTTTAAAACAACAGTAGAATTTTAATAGGTTTTGTGTTTGAATGGACGCACAACCTATGATGCTTCTAGGAAATGCAGTCATGAACTTAATTTATTAGGAAAACCTTTCTAGATGTCAAAACAGTTTGTAGATGCCAAATTTAAGTTTTAAGTGTCTGTTAATTGCAGAAGCAGTTACATGTCTAAATATAGCTATTGTTTTGTGTGTTGAAGAAATGACTGAGATGGTATTGCAGGGCAAGTTATTTGGGAAATTGACATTCCCTGTGACTTTTTTTCAGTTGACAAGAACACAGATATAAATAACATCGTACAGTTTTACATACACACACAGACACACACTCATATATATTTTCATGATGTCAGTGGGAATTTTGATGTGAATGCCGATTGTTTGGGCATGTTACCATTACAAACAAATCAAGAAATTACTTACTTATGTATCCTGAAAATGTCCTGAAAAGTTTTAAGCAGATCACAATTACTGCATAAGAGTACGTTTTAAAGTCGGATTTCTTATGAAACTTACTCAACTTTGCCTGCCAGCATTTGCAGGGATACAGAATTTGGTTTTGTTCAGTAAAAGATTCGTTAGGGACTATTTTCTTTGTGAGCAGAGGTTTGAATATATTGTGAATATAGATACCATCAGGAGTTAGAAACTACCATTGGTTTGAACAACAGGCAGCACAAATGTTGCATGAGTGAGTGAACGGTCTGCAGTCAGCTACCCTTTCTGAGCCTAGGTACCGAGTGAGGGCAAGAGAACTAGACCAAATAGGAAATCCACTGTGTAAAGGATTGGTGCATGTCTGGAAACGGGTCGTTAAGCAACTGTCTGCCTTTAAGACTCTGATGACCCCACTCTTCCATTCTCTTTCTTGTTTCCAGCCATGCAATCCCACTCGAAGTCATTCTGCTAATGTTGCACTCTATGCTGGAATTCTCACTGCATGTGCTGTTACAGTTTTGGCTTGGAAAAGAGAGTGGTAATACATTGTGAAAGAAAATTATAATCATTAGTTATTGTTTCTTTTATTTGAACATTTTTTCCTAATTTAAAATATTGCTAGTATGAATTTTTGCATTATCTCACATGCACATTCCATAATTAGACACTTTTCTTATACATTCGGCAGTTTTCCTTTTCTTACAATAAGCACGACTCTCTCAATGAAGGTACCTCTCTAGCTCCTTAATAGGCATTTGCATTTACAATGTCTGCGTCAAATAATACGTTGGGTATTTCTCCCTCTACATCTACTCCCTTCTCTCTAAGGGAAAGGCATTTTAGCAATTACTGACAATGGGGCAAACTGTGAGCTACTGAAGGAATAAATGGCCCTGGGCTCCTATCTGTGTACCCAGCATGTACAGTATGAACACCCAGCATGGTCAGTGGAAGTCTATCAGGAGGACAGGTAAGTGCCCTTTAGTTCAAGACAGAGTACACATGTGGAATACCTTGGAGTAGGAAATTGTATTTCAGTCTCATGATTATTTAGAAGCAAGGGTAATTGCTGTCCCCTTCCTCAACATCTCCTTCTTGACCATTCTCTGCCTTAGATGCCTATACAACAGCGGAAGTGGTTTATTCTTGGACTCTTGGGAAGAACAAATCTGTGGAAGTGGCACAGGATGGGTCCCGCCTGAACCAGTATGACCTTCTGGGCCATGTGGTTGGAACAGAGATAATCCGGTCTAGTACAGGTATTTACTCATTTTACTTAACAAACATTTTGGTAACCTGTAACACCATATGCTAGCAATTGGTCTATGTGCTTTACATGCAATAACTTCTTTAATCTTCAGAACATTATGGGATATAGATGGTATTTTCATGAGGAAATGGAAGCATAGAGAAATTCAGTGGTTGCCCCAAATTGCAGTGTAGAAGGGCACAAGGAATGAACCCAGATAGAGACCTAAGCCCGTGCTCTTACATGATACTTTGATGTTTCTTGAGGAGTGGAACAGAAGGCCAAGGGCATTAGGATTAAAATGTGGTGAGAAAAGGAAGAAAGAGGCCATGATGGTGAAAGAGCTGTGTTTTAATCCCAAAAGTTATATTAAGACTTGGGTTTGTCCAAAGATACCATAACTGACATCCAAGCAGATATATGCACACCCATGTTTATCGGGGCTTTGTTCACAATAGCAAGGAGTTGGAAACAACCCAGGTGCCCATCAACAAATGAATGGATAGAGAAGCTGTGGTATATTCACACAATAGAATACTATGCTGCATTGAAAAACAAGGAACTTATGCAATATTATTCAAAAATGGGTGACCCTGGAGGACATTATGCTGAGTGAAGTATCTCTGTCACAAAAGGACAAATACTGCATGGTGCCACTGTTGTAAAGCAGGACTGACCTTGGGGTTGGGAGGAGACTGAGAAGGATGGGTTCAATAATGTATACTGCACTGAAACAGATGAGGGAGAGAACTGTTTAAGAGGGAAAATGATTAAGGATTTTTGTCATGACAGGAGTGCAGAGAGAAGGCTGCATAGTGGAGTGGACGTGGGGGGAGGGATTGTAAAACAATGAAAGGATTTTTCTTTTACTTTTCCAAGAGGGTAGTGTACTAGAGGAGAGGGTTGGGAGGGGAGAAAAGTGCAACAATGAATGAATGGAAATCCAAAGTCTCTCTGAATTTTCATTGAAATTAATAATAAATTTTAAAAGAAGAAAAAGAAAGACTTGGGTGTGACTCAACCAGTGCTGATGTGGCAGGTTACAAATTCCTGAGGAAGCCAGGCACACAGCCAGCTTAGGGGCTAGCTGGGCAATTCTTCTGTTAGCTGGGTTGCTCACCTCAGAAACAAGCTTTTCTGGCAAAATCTTCATAAATGGAACCTCGACACTTGTAGCCTTAAAGTTTGTCTATTTAGAAACGGACCAATTGTGTGGGACTGAGGAAGGAGGCGCCCCGAATTCTAGCTAACCTTGGGGTATTTGGGAAAATGGAATCTATCCTGGTACCTAGATATATTCTAAGCACTGTTGCTGTAAAAATGTTGTTGTGTGCCATCGAATTGGAACTGCCACATAACTGACCTGCTAGCAGGCTTCCGGAGGCAGTTAATCACACAGGAGATTGCCCATCCTTCTCCTGCAGAGAAAGGCCAGGAGCTCGCCACAGTCATCCTGTAGCAACATGCATCTCGGAATTCACAGTTACAAATGCAGAAGAAGGTGCCTCTACCCTTTTGCTTTATTGTCTGGGTGCATGCTGTTTCCGCTCCGTGAGATGTCACAGTGTGTCACTTTGTGTCCTGCCTCTGCACTTTCTTTCCACACCAGGACCAGAGGAAGGTATTTGAAAATGGTGGCATCTGTAATAGATTTGAAGAATATGCAGGATTTAGAGATTTGGAATGAGGTGTGTGGAAAAACAGTTCTTGATAAAAGAAAATACTGAGACATCCCAAGCCCAAGGCATGAGAGGGCATGGCATGTGAGGAGGGGCAAGCTGCAGGTCAGCATTCTGGCGGGGCGGTGCCCACGCTGCAGGTCAGCATTCCGGTGGGATGGTGTCCATGCTGCAGACTGATATCCGGTCCAGGTGGAAGCTCCAGACAAGCATTATGGGTCTAGGAGGTGTCTGAAGGACCCCCTTCAGCAGGCAAGTGTTGGTTGCTGATGCCACGAGCTCTGGCTCCAGAAGAGTGGATGGCCAACAGTCGGTGTGCCTGGGGCACTGGGATTCTGTCTGTTGTTCATGGGCATTTGATCTCGTCATTGTCGGAGTCAGCCTTCTGCAGCCCTGCATTCCAAGAGGCAATGCTTCAGGTGTGTACTCAGAGCATCCCCCTCCCCTGTCTCTTGGCGCGAGTGCTGTGGTAGGCTGGGCACTAGAGAAAGGACAAAGGGGTCTTCAAAGACAAACTTCAGGAGATTCGAGAGACTGAACCCAAAGCTGTCTGAGTCACCTCGGGCCAACTACACTCTTGAGAGAGCCGAGCACTGGTGCCATGAATGTGGATGGGTCATCCCTATCTGCTACAGACCTTCACCAGGTACCAGGTAACTCGGCCTGTGTTTTCTTTCTCTCTCTTCAAGACAAAACTACAGATCTTAAGACTTTTCAAAGTGCACGCCCACCTCTTGACGGTAATCGGTTCAGACGGTGCCCCTGTTGTGTCTCTGGACCTCAGAAACAGGCAGTTTAGCAAGATGTGACTTCTGTGAGCAGCAGGGGCCTTCCCTGTCCCTTGACCACACTTGTCTTTCCAAGGGCCTCTGTGACATTCTGGAAGTGGCAAGCCAGGGGCGGACCATCCTTTCAAGATGATCATTGGTCAGCCTTCCCCAGGAAGACAGAATCGTCAGTGGGCCATGTCACTCCCAGTTCCTTCCAGTCACTTCTTGAATTTTCTTTTAGTCTCTCCTTTTTTTTAGGGGGAGGGTGCATGGTTTTGGAGCAGAAAAATCAATTTCTTGTTGCTTCCTGTAGAGCTCTAGCTGCCCTGACCACCTGGATACCTACTGGGACTACAGCCTTCAAGCAGCCTCCAGCCCCTGTTTTGTTTGGTTGAATCCTGTTTAGTTTTTATTACACAGGCGATACACAGTTGGTGCTGGAAAAATGAGAGTACATGTTGCTATTATGGGCCATTGAGTGCTCGTGACTCATGGTAACCCTGTGTTCAGCAGCTCTCCTGCTCCCTCCTAAGCCAGTCTCCGACATACCTCATCCCATTGCCCCACTTACTGTAATCTCATCTGGGATCTTCTCCTGTGCTGTCCCTCTACCCTTCCAAGCATGCTGTCCTTCTCCAAGGATTGGCCACATGCCCAAAGTATCAAAATCCTTGTCTTAAAGGAAATTCTTGGTTTTACCCTCTCCAAGACAAACCTATTTGCTTCTTGGTAGTCCATGGGATGTTTAAGACTCTTCTCCAGCACCACAACTCGAAGGCATCGATTCTTCTGTCATCCTTAGTCATCGTCCAGCTCTCACATGCACAGCAAGTCATTTTGAAGACCATTGCCTGGGTCTGGCACACGTTCAAGCACATGGAGCAGCAGAATATGGAAATTAAGACACTGTCATTATCTAGAAGAGTCTTCTTAAACAATTTTGGTGTATAATGTTTAAGAGGTTCCTTTCATGTTGAATTTTTATGTAAATATGTTTTTGTGTCACTAAAGATATAGGATCAAAACAAAAGATAAACAAAATTTAATAAGTTAACTCATCAACTGGAGTACAGCACACAGTGACCATATGAATAACAGACCTGAACCCTGTCCTATCCTGGGCCATCCTCACACTTCCTGACTCACTTGAGCCCACTGCAGCGATTGTCCAGTTCCACTCTGGAGAGGTCCATGACAGAAAATTTTTTTCCAATGAACTCGTCTTTTGATTTCCTGGCTTCAGGTGCCTAAAGTGTTGATTGTGGATCTGATCAAAATGACATCATTAACGATCACAATCATTTCTCCACCTATCAGGATGCTGGACCTTTGTGTTTTTTGTTTTTTGGGGGTTTTTTTGGTGTTGAGATATAATCCATAGACATTGTATGTATTATCTCTTTGCATGTGTGAGAAAGGCAAGTAAAAACAAAACAAAACAGAACATGATAGAGGCACCAAGAAAAGAGAAGGCAGAGTTGAAGATAAAAAAAAGAGTGCAAGGGGCAAATAAGAATCCAAGGAAGAGAGATAAAGAGATGGGGAAACACCAAATATAGATTTATACCCACTTGCTTAGTATAATGGGTTAATTTACCGAGCTGTTTAAAATATCTCTGTGTGTTTCACAATCTTAGAAAGTAAGCTGCAAATGTATTTTCTATCAGATGCTCAAATATTTCACACTTAACACAAATGGAGCTTAATAAACTGTAGCCAAGGCAGGAAAAATGTCTCCAAACTACTTAAAAGGTATTTTTTCATCTTGAGAGATATGGAGAAAGGCAGCAATAGAAGTGTAAAAGAGGAATTCAGTGATCTGCTTTAGGAAAATATAACGGACTAGGTAGGAAATTAGTTAGCAAAAATGCATGCATTATATATTTGATCTTATATTCTTGAAGATTTCGCACACAACACAGATGCTACTAATTCAGTTTAGTAAGCTAGGGCCTAGTAGTGCAAATAGTAGGGAAGATGGGAAAATCTTTTCATGTGATTAAAGCTAAAATTTTCACTTTGGCAAAGAGGAGGCTATAGAGATAAATGCTGTTATATATGCCACTGAGTCGGAGCTGACCCTCTGGTGGGTTTTCAGATGAGGTGAGTGCCCATCTCTCTCCCACAGAGCAGCTGGTAGATTAGAACCCTGTGCCTTAGAGATAAATATGGGAATTATATTAGAAAAAAGATGCAGTTCCTTGATGCAGTGACTTAATTAGCTGAGTTTGCGACAAGCCCACTTGAGAGTTTACAATTACAGAAGCTCGCTAGATTACAAATATCTATGAACGTGCAGAAGTAATTTCCCATTCTTCGCTTGGCTGTTTCACACTGGATGCAGACAATCCAGTAGAACAAGGAAAATCTTCCTAATGTGTTTTCACGGAAGAGACTTCTTGCTTCTTTTTGAGAAAGGCAGTAGACTAAGAGAAGGAAAAGACAGGAAAGGAGAGAATTTTTTTTTGCATGTTTTAAGGTGTCTTTTTATTTACAAAGTGAGATGATGTATCAGTTACAAACAGATATCTGATAACACCATTTTCATGAAAAAGTATATAAATATATTACAGGAAATTCTATGTAGTAAACATTAGAAATTGATAGAAGTAAACATTTGCTACTTCTTTTTTCTATGCCAATATTATTGTCATTTTAAAGCTTAAATACTAGTTTCAAGTATCCCTTATAAAAGAACTCTATTAGAATACAGAAAAAGAATTTTGCTGTACACAATATTGGTGCATTAAAAATAGACTGAGCTTCCTTGTAACTATGTCCACTATGATCAAATGCTGCTTATAAATCATCCCTAGAATCTCTAAACCAAAAAGCAGTTTAAGTAAACTGCTTTGCTCAGTTAGTGTTAAACAATTCTTAATAATTATCACAGGTTACAGTAGCTGTAAAAGTACAGCACGTGTCAACAGTATTTGTTGCTATGCTGATTGCCCCTCTCTCTGAGGAAGAGAGTGATGCTGGGCGGACCCTTCCTGCTGCCATTAAGGGGAGAGTGGCAGGGTCCTTGGGAGGTTTCGGAGAGGAAAGGAAAGGCTTCCAGAAGGCGGATCTTTTCATGTCATTTCCGAGGTGGCTCCTGCTCTTTGTGCTCTTCTTCAGGAAACGAGAGAATCTGATTAATTTGCTAAACTTCTGACAGATCTACTTGATCTCAAATCCACAGAATACAGCTACTTTATTAATTAAGGCCTACCATGTTTCATGTATCAAACCAACAAGCCTGTCTTGGAGGAAGTGAGACCATGGTGCTCCTTGGAGGCGAGGAGGGGGAGATCCAGGAGGGGCCAGACCTGGACAAAGACATCCTGGTGGGAAAGGTGGAGGGCCGGGGAGAGGGGAGGACCCCCAACATGGTAGATTTACATAGTGATGTAGCAATGTCCTTGTGTAAGTCATAGAGCATGATGATGACGATGACAATGATGATGACAACGACGATGATGACGATGACAATGGAGCGGGATAGAACAAGGTCCAGATCAGATAGAGCAAGGTTGAGAGGGTCGCTAAGAGTCAAAGTTGACTTGAGGTACCTAACTACAACAACAGTATAATTGACCATTTCCCATGACCACAATCAATAATAAATAAGCTGGTATTTAGGAACTTAGAAAACACGAGAAAGGAGGTATATTGTCTGAGGTTATCCAAGTCCAGCTCCCAGTTAAGAAGTCTTCAGTTCTTTATCAGTGGACAGGCAGAGTGAAAAGAAAGCAGGGTGTAGACTTTGCTATACATGGAAGAGAGAGACAAAGAACAAAACAAAGAAAAGGATTGAAAAAGTAGAAATAAAAGAAAAACTTTAAAGTCGTAGTGAGGGAATGATGCCATAGTTTTGCCTGGGATTTTAAGCTAAATTAGAAAAAAAAGCCACTTTTTTTGTGTGTGTGTTCCTATAAACAAGCCAAGATGTAAATAAGCACGCAGTATGTATTGCACATTGAGCCTTGGGTAACCAGATGGTGTTTGGTAGGTTTGGATGCAAGTGACTGAGATGGTTAGGGAAATGGGAAGTTGTCTCATTCTGGAGATCTGCCCAAACCAACTGTGGGCGGAGGGGAGAGGTGTTGAGTCGGAAGCTCTGAAAAGAAAGGGAGTAAAGCTTTCAGATTCTGTGGGTCTTTGCAGACTATTTTGGGGCTTTTGGCTTTTACTAGATAGATGAGAAATTTTTGTAGGATCTTTGCAAAGATGAGAAAGGATTAAATTGTGAATATATTTTGAAGGAAAAAAATGCCAGAGTTTATTCACTATTGTGTATATGTGAGAAAGACCGAGGGAGAGAAAAAGAGAAGTCAACAACAATGCTAAGGAATTGGAAGGTTTGGGCCTGAGTGATACCAGTTACTGCGATTCCGTAGCTGCAGCCTAGTGGAGGAGCCAGTCTGGAAGGGAATGAGGAAATGGGAAAAACAAAAGCTCAGACTCAAATGTTCTATCAAGATACTTGTTATTTTTCCATGCGGCAAGGTCCAGTAGGCAGAAGAACATACAAGTCTAGACTTGAGTGGGGAACCCATGCAGAAAATACACATTCGGGAGTCTAAGATATTCGGAATTTAAGATATTACTTGAAGACACAGGCGTGGCAAGAATAGTAAGAAAGTGATAAAAAAAGGAAGACATACAAAGACTAAACCTGAAGCCCTGCAGTGCTTAGAAATGAAATTGGCAAAGGAGACTGTGAAATAAAAACAACATGGAGCCAACCAATCTGAGCTTGAAATTGGACTCACTACTTAGTAGGGAGCACTGATGGCTTAGTGGAAAGGAATTATACTGCCAACTCAAAGGTATAGGGTTCTAACCACCAGCTGCTCCACAGGAGAAAGATGGGCAGCCAACTTCCTTGCAATTTACTGCACAGTCTGAAAACCCGCTGGGTGTCAGTTATGGGTTGGTTCCAACTCTGTGGTACATACCTTAGCAGCGGAGGATCAAGCCGGTGGTTCAAATCCACCAGCTTCTCCATGGGAGAAAGGTGGGCTATTTCCTCCTGTGCTATTCACCGCCTCTGAAAACCTGCTGGAGGGTCAACCAGGAGTTGGTCCCAACTCAAAGATCCATAGCAATGCCGACTTAGTAGTCGGTGACCTTGTGGAAGTTTACTCGGTCTCTCTTTGATCAGTTTCTAGGTCTATAAAATGAAGATAACAGCACTGGCCTCAGAGAATTTTAAGACTATGATGTAGAAAGTATGTACAAGAGATTGTAATTTCTTACCATTCATTTATAAGAATATTTATTCATTTGAATGAATTTTGCTTCAACATTGCTCTGAACTATGTGAACATACTGTTAGTGTGTATTATCACAAAAGCCAAATTGCCTAGTTACTATTAAAACGTAATTACATTGACTTGGGAGGTGGTAGAGTATCTTATTGTGAATATGAATTTGAGGGCCTCTGTAAACTGCATTGGATCCATACTTAATCTACTAATAGTTTATAGCTGTGTACCGTTTAGTCAGAACCAACCCTTAGCGGACCCTCTGGTGGGTTTTCAGAGGCAGTTAATCACATGGGAGGAGGTTGCCCATCCTTCTCTCACTGAACTGTGTGTAAACAATTCTTACTACCTCCAAAAACTGTCAGAGTGAAACAAATCAATAAAAACGAGAAAGAAAAAAAGCATTTGTCCAAGACAAAAATATTTTACTTTGTCAGTGATGAGTCAAATGTGAGAATGGTTACCCATGGTGGACAGTGTTTGGTGGAGCTCCCCAATTAAAACAAGCTTGGAATCAGGAGTGGCACCCCCTTCCATAATAGCTTGCCTCTGGAAACCCTATGAACCTGGAGAGAGGACAAAAGTTCTACAGGTGTCCAGGACTTTCGTTCACAGGGTCACTATGAGTCGCCTATGACTTGACAGCACTTAACATGTATCCGTATTTCAAAATATAATAGTAAATGGTAAATAAAAACTGTGTAGGTGAAATAGTAGACAGAAAAGTATGTGGGGGGAAGGAACTGTACGTTGCTGGAGGAAATATCAACTGATCTAACCACTTTAAAGATTTAATAGTTTCTTAGGCCTATTGAATTTTTTTTTTCTCTCTAGGAGAATATGTCGTCATGACAACTCACTTCCATCTTAAGCGAAAAATTGGCTACTTTGTGATCCAGACCTACCTGCCATGTATTATGACTGTCATTCTGTCACAGGTGTCCTTCTGGCTCAACAGGGAGTCTGTCCCTGCTCGTACAGTCTTTGGTGAGTGTTGGCTTATGGAGAGTGGGAAAGGTTCCTGTGCAAAGTGTTACCAGGGGCAGCTAGAATCCAGGTGAGGACGGTTGAAGAGCTATCTCTGGAGGAGATGGAAGCAGCACCCGAGTCCAGTAGTCATCAATAAGTGATCAGATCCTGGGGCTTCAGGTAACTGAATTCTTAACTAGAAAGTGGGGACAAGCAGAGTAGAGACCTTACTGAAATACTTTCCATAGCACTCAGTTTGCCGCAGGACTTGGGGAGGAATTGGAGCTTCGGTGTGAGGGGGAAAAAATGAATTTTGGGGCAAAGCTGAGAGACACACAATCTAGAAGTAAACTTGGGGCTGCTCTATTTCAGTGTGAGCTGCCTAATTTTCTGCTTCTCTTACAGTCTTTCTGGGAATATGAATGACGTGCTACTCAGTAAAAGCTTCACAAAGTTTGACGTTTTCCAGTAGTTCCTATATCGTAAGGGTTTTCGTCAGAGTTTACTGGAAGAGACTTGCGTTAACATTTTCCCCTCAGACTTAAAGCATATCAAATATTTTTGGCTTGTTCCTCTCACTATAAGATTTTTAAGGAGATGAGTATTAGGGAACTCTTTTAGGTTACTAAAGTAGCCTCCACAGATGCGCTGGTTACCCAGCAGGGACTGGACACAGACGGCATGCCCACCTACATCCGAAAGCTGCACTTGTGTAGTTCAGAAATCAGACAGAGGAGCTAGCGACGGGTAAGGAGGGGGTGGGAGGCGGTCTGCAAAGTAGAAAGAAAACCAGAAGGTTACATCATGGCCTTGAAGAGAGGAAAGTATTTTAAGAGTTAGAGAATACGTATCTGGTTTGAGTTTGCTCTAAGATGCAGACAGAAACTGAGTATTGGGTGTGGTGTACTTAAGTCTGTGCTTGATGGTTGGCAATCTGGAAAAGAATGGTTGCCCTCTGAGCTCATAAAGTATTAAAGAAAATAAAAAAATCCAAATAAACCTGAAAAATGGAAGGCTTGAATTCACCAGCCATTTTGGAGAAGGATGGACAATTTTGTCCCATGCCTCCGAAAACCCTCTATAAGGCAAGCTTCCAACTTGATGGTACACAACAACAATCACATTAACCGATACTGTTTTAGCAGGACGGTGGATGGATGGTAACTAGTCTTCATAACCAGAGCAGGTTTTTTAAACCTTTGCAAGAAAAACATTAGCTCTTAGTTAATTCGAGAGTTAGAACTAGTACTGTGATAAGCTGGGTAATGACCTTCAAAATATCCATGCCGTAATCACCAGGTGTGGAGTTTGTCTCTCAATATGGCTTGTCTAATGTGGACGACTATATGGAGGGATGGGACTATGCAAGTGAGGCATGCTGGCTTATTCACGAAGGGACTGGCTCTCAGCCATTCGACACGGGGATTGGCCAGTCTCAACCCACAAGAGGATTAGCTCGTCTCACCAATAAATTGAACAGCTCTAGATGTAGAGAATAGAAGCTCTTTCCCCACCAGAAGAAACAGTCTTCCCCCAGTCAGAGAAGGGAGACGTCCCCCAGCCTGGTGAAATATAGGACACGCTTTGGGTTGGCAGCAGCAGCAATGGCTGAACTGGAGAATTGATGTGAGATGGGATGTGGAAGGGTGAAGCCAACAGTGGCAGGACTGAGGACTTTGTGGGACAATTGGGTGTAGAGCCATTATTGGCAGGACTGAGGACTTTGTTGGACAATTTGAGGATGGAAGCCAGTATTGGCAGGACTGAGAACTTGGGAACACCATGAGGCTCAATGGTGAGGTACCTGCATGCTCGTTTTGGGAGCTGTCTTGACTATGTTCTGTTATTAATCTGAATTCTAACCTTTTAACTTCCTCAGTACAGTTCTGTGTGGTCTGGGAGCTATCACGTCAGATTTTGGATCCAAGCAGTAAGATTAGTGTTAAGATGAGTATAAAGAGGCATGGGTGCATGGGGGACATTTCTGATCTCACGGGAATTGGTTTTGTGTTATTGATTTTGTGAACAGGAACAGTTCCCTCCTGTAAAGGTAGTAAATGTCAGATATGGCACTCTCCACGTGGCCCTTGCTCTTTTTACACCAGGACCTGTGAATATTACCTTATATGGGAAAAGAGACTTTACATATGGGGCTAAGAGTCTTGAGATGGAGAGGTTATATAGGTGGACCTTGAATACCATCACTGATGTCTATGTATAGGGAAGCAGAGGAAAATTTGACCACAGAAGAGAGGCTGTGTGGTGGAAGCAGAAGAGATTTGAAGAAAGAGGAAGAGTATTGGCAAAAGAATAGAAAAAATGAATGGCAATTGAGTATGATTCATAGTGACCCTGTGAACAACAGAGCCGAACCTTGCCCTGTCCTGTGCCATCTAATTGTCTCTGAGACACTTGAGCTCATTAATGTAGTCACTGAGTCAATCCATCTCGTTGACGTTCTTCCTCTCCTTCAGTGACCCTCACCTTTCCCCACACAAAGTGCCTTTCCAAGGAACAGCACCTCCTAACAACATGCCCAAAGTGTGTAAGACGAAGCAGACCATTCTGGTTGCACTTTGTCCAAGACATAGAAATACTCTTCAAAGACATCAATTCTTCTTCTGTTATTCCAGCTCTCAGCAGCATAGCAAGTGTTCAGAAAGATCATAGCCTGAATCAGACGCACCTTAGTCCTCAAACTGCCTTGGTCTGTGACTACAGACTTGCCCAAAGTAATATATCTCCTGACTGCTGACACCCAAGGAGGATGTTGACTGGGAATCCAACTAATATGAAATAATTTCCAGTTTCAATACTTTCTCCATCTATCATAATGTTGCTTACTGTCCAAGTGGTAAGGATCTTCACTGGTGTATGGCAAAGAAGCACCTGTGTCGCAGTGTGCGCCCCAGCTATGCAGCTGCAAGTGTCCATCTCCGTTGGCTGCGAATAATAAATGAGGTCACTCTTTTTCCCCGTTAAAAACTTCCTGCTTGGTGTGTTCAGAGGGCTACCGAGCTTCATTCTCAGGACTTACCAAGGTACAAATGGAAGTGGTTTGTGAATGTTGTTCTTTAGTACAGTCAAGTGGGACTTGATGAGAAGCGACATCAGCACTGCCCACGCCTGCGCCATCCTCGGTAGCTCAGTTGGGGGAGGGTCACATTTTCAATCTCAGGGTCTAGGATCCAAGTTCCTATGTAGGTGTTCAGTCTTTAGTCTTTTGGTAATAAGTGTCTTAATTTAAAAATAAAAAAACAAACCAAAAAACCAAATCCACTACAAAAAAGCTGGCTTCTTGGATTCTGACTTCTAGTAAGGCATGGTGATCAGATGTCGAAGGCTTTAAATCATGATGGAAGAAATTGCCCAAAGCACACAGCAAGTACGTAGCAGAATGCAGGACTTCTCTTTTTTTCGTTTAATACTCACCTAGACTACTATACTGTCGCAAACAATCACCTAAAGGTTACTACAAGGGTGTTAATAATGTGATTAACATGTTGCCATCCCGCACATTTTAATTAATTAAAAAAGGAACATCATTCGTACGAAGTGTACTAATGCATTTATTTGTTAATTGTTCAGTACTACATCAGAAAAAAGTGTTTCTAAACACAGTCATCAATTTAAAAGTGTGTGGCAGCATGTTAAAAGTATTCTACTGTAACTATCTAATTATGACTCTTGTTAATAATAACCATAGTAAAATCCATTGGACTATTAATTAAAGATGCTTACTATTTGAATACACCAGCATCTCTGAGAGCAAAAGATGAATAATCTCCTGGGTGATTTAGAAACTTCTAGAACCTCTGGGGAGTGAGCTCTCAGTTGGTTCTGACTTCACAGCGATGAGTTCAGTTGGGTTTGTTGAGTTGGTGCTCTGTGCCAGATACTGGACTGTGGGCTTATAGACTTTGTCTTATTGAATTTTTCAATGAACCTCTGAGTCTGGTACCGATTTTACATATGATAATACTGAAGCATAATGAGGTGAAATGTCAAAGGCATGTTTTTAGTAACTGGATTTCCTAGACATCAATCTAATTCAGTCTGACTCTAAAGCTCATGTTAACTACAACATTCTGTGGTTTGTGTGTATATAAAATAATGTACATATTAGAATTTTTTCTTTTTTGCAACAGTGAATAAAGAAAATCTTGGATGTAGGCTAACACCAAGGTAAAAAGCAATTTATCTCCAAACAAGCTCTGGTTTTGCAAAAACTCACCAAAAGATAGCTTTAAAGACAGCTTTGGTTGTCAGCAAAGCTTAAAGGGAGTCCAGATTTTGATATGACTCCAGAACCCGTTTCCATAATAGTTGACGGCATTGCCAGAAGCAGCATGTCCAGAAATAGGAGAATGAAAACCCTGCCGTACTCAGACCAGCCCTGGAAGCTGGGGCTCAGTTCTGTGTGTCAAGGATGGAGAAAGAGATGGAATAAGAGAAGGAACTGGAACTATTTGGTTTGGAGATGAGCAAATTCATGAAGAACTATATCCACCCTTTTCGGTCCTGTTTCTACAGAAGAAAACTCTCAGATTAGTCAGGGAATTGGAATTAGAGGACAGCAAACTTAGTTCATATGATATGTTTCTCTATACAAATAATATTTAACTACCCCCTCTTGCAATGGAATAAGCCGCTTATGATTGAATGGAAATAGTACGCAGAGGCTAGAAAACACCTGCTCCAAGTACCAAGCTGGAGAGTCCCATGCTTCTGCTCACTGGAGGGAGTAGTTGGACCCATTCGCCTTTAATGTTCTCTGTTGTGGGGTTTTGTTTGTTTGTTTGTTGGAGTGGGGTATAACTTTCAAAGGAAACTGGAAATCTCATTGTCTTCTAGTAGCAACTCGTTCTCTCTCTCTCTCTCTCTCTCTAGGTGTTACCACTGTGCTTACCATGACGACTTTGAGTATCAGTGCCAGAAACTCCTTACCTAAAGTGGCATACGCGACGGCCATGGATTGGTTCATAGCCGTCTGTTATGCCTTTGTATTTTCTGCGCTGATTGAATTTGCCACCGTCAACTACTTCACCAAGCGGAGTTGGGCTTGGGAAGGCAAGAAGGTGCCCGAGGCCCTGGAGCCAAAGGTGAGGTACAGCAAGAGAAGTGCTGGGAAACACCCCCTGAGAGAACTGTATTGGGACCGGGAGTGGGCAGCTTACAGCCTGCAGGAATTAGGCAGGGCTATGTGCTGTTCACTGGGGTCATCAATCCATTTCTCAACTGGAGTGCTTCTTGGCATGCGGGATGTTGACTAAAGGCAATGGAAGGAGAGAAAGTGTTATGCAGAGCTGATACCTTGTGCCAAAGGAGCCACCCTACTGAAAGATCCCAGAGGAACCCATTGATACTTACAAAGTCACCCGAAAAAGTACATCTTCACCATAGAGGGGGACTGTCTGTAGAGGGGGACTGTCTGTAGGGCCCCTTCCAGCCCACACGTTCCAGGACACTCACCTTACAATCACACCAAAATGATTGCACTTCTTCTGAGCCTTTGTTCATTCCATACTCTATTGAAATGCTTCTTTCTGTTTTCTGCACCTCTTAAAGGTCCACTAATTCTTCAAGACTCAGTTGAACGGCCACCTTTCCCACAACGCCTTTCCAGGGTCATCTGGACAGAGTTGCCTTTTCTTGGGAGGACAGTGCTTCTCATAGTAAAAGCATTTCTCTGCATTAGTTATTGTCTGCCTTTTCACTGGACTGCTTGAGAGCAGGATCTTGTCTGTGTCGTCTTTCTAACTACCCAGTGTCTTATATAACAGCTGACTCATAGTAAAAACTGAATAGACATTCATTGGATTAATAGGTGGATAGGAATGAAAAAGAGAGAAAAACCAATAAAGTGGTTCTATCTGGGAGGATTAAAACATGTTTACAGTTAAATTAAGATTTTCTGATTGCTTTTTAATGAGTTCAGACCTCTTGTTCTAGATGAAGACTATATACAGTGATGGTAAAAAGAACTGGCAGATAAGATCCCAGAACCATTTCAGTAGTTTTCAAAGAATCATGGAGAAAAGGCCATGAAGACTTTTCACGTTGGGAGGGAAGCTGGACCTGACCTCGAATGGTGTGTGGAGCAGGACTCTCGAATCTTTGCAGCAGAGACTTTCAACCTCTAACCCGTTAACAACCGGACAGGCCAAGTAGTCACTTTCAGACGCGTGAGGACTCAGACATGTCGTCTCCCATTTCTTCTCCCTTTGGAAGATGTTGGAGAACATGTCCTACTAAAGCACAGAAGTAAATCATAGAAGAGAAAGACATGAGATGCAAGAAAAAGGGTATCCAACAGGACGTGAAATGAAGTCTTCCAATCGCAGACATGCAGTAAGCTTCAAGAAGAGTCAGTCTATTCGAGGGTTGAGCTAAAAAGATTGCTGTGATGTACTGGGGATGAGCGGAGGATGGCACACGTTTCAGTCAATTAACCAATTTTAGGGTGTGTTTTCAGGGCATCTATGCCTATAGTAGAACCAAGTGGGAGACTCACCAGTTGATGGGCAAAACCTAACCCTACATTGAATGTTTTCATCTCGCAGGGAAAGCACCAAGGGGCAGCTCAATTTGGAGTGAGCCTGCCTCAGAGATCTATATTTATATTCTTCATTGAACAACCCCCATGATTCCTATCTTTTAATGGTGAAAAAGTAACTGGCAACTGTTAACAGTATAAACATTGTATTTAGAATATAAAAATGACTATTAGAAGTATCACCAAAAAGAATGAAAAATAATTACCTAAGAGGAGTGAAGCTAATAGCATAAAAGTTTCCGGTTTTCATTACACGCTCGATTTCTTTTGAAATTATGGACATGTGTTATTTGTATTAAAGTTTTTTAATGAAAATGATAAGAATAAAGTAAAAATGAAATATCTATATTTAAAAAGAAGGTGCTTATTCTTAGAATTGTTTTTGAAATATTAATAAAATCTTACCTAAATTTTTAAAAGTATAATTCTTAAACTCTTCTTATAGTTAAATGAGAATATCGTAGCATCTTTCTTGAAAATACTTTATCCTAGTTCGTATTGCAGAAAATTTCCAACTTCTTTTCACGTCTTAGAAAAGTTTAGCTTCTTACTGTGTATGTTGTTGTTGTTGTGTGTCATTGAGTCGGAACCGACTCCTAGCTGACCCTCCAGCAGGTTTTCAGAGGTGGTAAATCACAGGGAAGGAACCCCGCCCCTTTTCCCAAAGAACAGCTGGTGGATTTGAACTGTGTGCCTTTGGGATTGCAGCACAGCTTTTTACCAGTAGGCCACCTGATTTAAAATGGTTTTTAAGTCAATGGGGCTGACTGACTACAGATTGAGCATTCCTGTGGTCTTTTCCCTAGAAACTGAACATACTGTAAGATTAAGTTTTACTCAAACAGGCGATTCTCCCACTTTGTCCCTACAACACACCTTGCAACTGTGAACGGATTGAAACAGAAGCAGAAACATCTATGTCTGAAATTCCTGTGTGATGCAGTGCTCAGCGCCATGTGACCCCAACGTTCAGAAGTGACAGCCCAAGGGCGGGTGTTGAGTGTCACAGGGAAGAAAAAGGGGAAAATGAACCCTCTGCGTTTTTAAACCTCAGTTATGACCTGTCTGTTTCCTAAGAAACTACATCAACTGTCCCTGCAAAGGCGGATCCTCCTCCGTTCCTTGCCGCAGCTTCCAGGTCTTCATCTCTTCCTTCACCTCACGTCCTCGGCTTCATCGTTCACGCTCACATCACACCAGATCTCTCTTCTTCACCTTCTTCACCTCCTCAATGCCATAGTGTCTGACTCGTGTTCATTTCATACGCTTGACTTCTTTTACAACTATTTTACATTAATTACTAACAGTTGTCGGGCAACTACAACGGTTTCCACCACTGGGTGAAGAGATGGGAAAGAAACCAATCTAATTGCTGGTAAAGTTGGTCTGGGATCTCTTCATGAAGACTGTGAGAGTAAGTAAGCAGTGTTTGCATCCTAAAGGTAGAAAAGCCTCATCACGAATTGTATTCTCCACACGTGAGGTCCCACAGACGGTTCCTGATAACATCCAAGCTGTACTTACCTCTGTGTTTTATACTTTTCTTACGTCTTCTCTCTACTCATTACTGATCAACCCCTCCCTTTCCAAGCTTAAAGGACCCCTGACTATCAGCTGAAAGGGCTCTTCATTGTTTTCCTACTTGTTGGAAATTGTTCTTCCTCTGACTTCCACCTCCCAGGAGTGGGGGTCACATTCTCTTAATCTCCAGTGCTGCTTTTAGACCATTACTCTTGCCGTCTTGATTAAGGAAGTCTCTGAAGCACCAGCTTTTCGGTGGCTTCTCAAACATCCTAAAGCCCTTTGCAGTGTCTTTGTCTTCCTGACATTAAGAAGTTGGAGTCCCACCCTCAGAACTCAGTATACAGACTCTTTCTTCTTCTGTCCACAAGTCAGAAAGATGCCTTTAACTTGCAAATTAGAAATATTCTTCTCTTAAAAGAGTCTAATGGCTTTCAGAGTCTTACAGGATCTGGCCCCCAGGTCTATGATGTCATCTCTCCTGTCAGCCTTCCTGTTTTGTTTGACTTTTCGTTGATTTTTCCCTATTCCCTTAGGTCGCAGTGATACCTGAAAATAAGTCAGTCTCATTCTAACTTGTGATGATTTGTCCTCAGTATTTTCTCCCTGTAGAAATTTGGTTCTTTTTCATATTCTATGACATTCTAAAACCGCACTCAAGTCGTTCCCTTTCCACTCCTGCTTTCCGTCTCCATGACCCTCAGCTCCTCCTGGCATTGCATTGCAGTATGTCTTCATACGCTTACGTGTGGAGTAGATGCCCCTTCCTTGGAATGGCAACTCCTTGAGGACAAGGAAGGCCGTGCTCCTCTGTCCGCCCCTGTGCCCCTAGCACCAAGCACACAGTCCGTCACCTAAAGACACTTGGGAACAATTTTTAAAACGGAAGACTGTGCCCCACGGTTTCTTGGAATCTGAGCTTCCCCTGCTTTCTGTTAGTCGCCGTCTAGCTTCAGCCTGGCGGCTTATGATCGTTGTCATTCCCAACACCTTCACCTTCTAGGTCACTTCCACGAGCTCATCCTCCTCAGAGCTCTGGTCCTTCAGCCTGCACCCGCAGTCCTTCCTTCTAATGATCACAGTTCCTTCTAAATCTTGGCTTTTCTTCCACCTTGCTCATGGCGAGAGCGGAGGCCATTGTTGGAGACTCTGCAACAGCCTGTGTACTTCTCCCCACTCCTTCCTCCTCAGCTGCGCTTGGCATGCTTCCTGTCTCCTGCGTCTTCTCGCTTTTATATGGCCGTAACACGGCCTTCCAATTCTAGCTCACTTTTCCTCTTCTGAGTTCCTCAACTCATGATCTATAGTCTCTTGAAGTAGTTTGTGCACTTTCTTCTCTATGTTTCAGTTCTCTTATCTTCGTTAACATTCCTAAGGGCACTATATTAGACTTATCTGTGAATCTCACATATCCATTGCTTTGCCTCACTTCTGAAAACTGGGATTCAGGAGAGCTAGATGTCTGTATGGGGCTGAGATTGAGGTGCTTGGCCATATCTGCATATACTCTGAGGTCTTAGCTTGATCTCAAGGGCATTTGGGGCTAGAGTGAAGTCTAATTAGCACCAGTAAAAACACTGATAAGTGTGCCATCCGAGGAAGAGACTCTAGGGTAGGATTGGTCTGTAAACACAGTCACTGTCTCCTCCCAAAGCCTGTAGCAGCCTTCCAGAAAGAAAGCTACCCTTGTAACTTAGTCAAGGTGTTTGGAGAAATTGGAGGAGTCCAGTGCTTTCTAGTGTGGTAATGACCCAGGCTAGAGTATGCTCTGGGTGTAGGAAAGCTCATGACACAGGAGGAACAACATCTGAAATAACACAGGATCCACAGTGCTGGAGTTGGGCAGGAGGCATACTTTTCCTTTTTCAGTCAGTGAACATTCATTGAGACACTTAGGACTAAGGAGGTGGAAGTGGAATGGTGACCCAGTCAGAGCTAAATCTGCCTAGTCTACAAACTCTACAGTTGTTGTTGTTATGTGCCGTCGAGTCGCTTGCAGCTCATAGTGACCCTATGTACAACAGCCCTAAACTCTGTTCTGTCCTGTGCCAATCTCACTGTCTCTGACACTCCCATCCCGATTTCCCCAGTCACCGAATCCATCTCCTAGAGGGCCTTCCCTTCCTGCGCCTGCCCTCCACTCTCCCAAGCATGATGTCCTTCTCTAAGGACCGGTCTCTCCTTACAACGTGACCAAAGTATGTCTACAGTAAGGAGAGGTATTAGAACACGAGCACTAGAACTGGGGAAGGGTGAGCCATAGGTCTCTACCCTTGTACCTGTCGTCTCAATGCGGCAACATTTGCTTTGGGTTTCTTCTTTGACAATTTAAGTAAAAAGAGGAGTGCCTGATTAAAATGTGGATATGCTATATTGGAAAGGATGAGAGGAACGAAAACGTAATTTTCTTATTAAAAAAAATGCCTGTAACTTAATCAGTTTCTGCTTCTCCCCCTCCCCACCTGCATGGATCGCGGAGGGCCTATGGAGTGTCCCCTGTCCTGAGCGAGCGGTCAGAAGCCCTGACCACAACCAGCTTAGGAGGGAACACATGTGTGAAAGTGCCTGACAAAGTCAGAGTGGTTGTGTCTTCCAGGGAAAAAGATCACTAAGTGAGTTAATACGTAAGCAGGCAAATAAGGAAAATGCTCTTTTATTTAATAGCGAAGGCATTTAGCAGCAGGACTCTATTCACATAATGAATCTGCTAATTAGAAATGAGTCCCGTGTAGTATTTAAGTCATTTCCAAGGTTCTGTGAGGCCTTAGAGTTCTGTCCTCCTTCCATTTGTGTGGCTCTGATTGTCAAAGTGGAGGAACGATTTTATTTTGTAAATGCCCTGTTAGTCAGGATGGTCACTTATTTAAGCCAATGTTTCCTCATCTGGCCTGCTTCTCCTCCTCAGCTGCAAACACCAGAAGGCAGGACAGGAGAGCCTGGAAAGCTGGCCTTTGAGGCGCCGGGGCCTCTGCCTGCCGCTCTTCACCTTGCGGGGCAAACCCCTCCTTATCCCCCACAGCACAACCTGTGTCCTGGCGCCAGCCTTGGCTGCCTCTTTATTTGAGATGCTCCTGCCCATGCTTTGCAGTGCAGCCGCCAAGCCTTCCGAGCTGCCTTTCCCACCACCTGCAGATACTGTGTCTCTTTCTTCCTAGCTTCCATGACACTTTGCTGGTGTTTGCTAGAAATCCGAGTGCGTTCTGTGGCGATGATCTGTCCACAAGGCTGCCTCTCTCTCTAGACTGGACCTGACTCATCTTCCAACTTTTTCACTCATCCCTAAATACTAGTATAGTTTGTGGCCCAGTACCACCAACCTTGGAAACCATGCCGCTGACCTTCAGGGAGGCCTGACAGTGGCATGGCGTGGCAAATCTGGCTGTCGCTCATCATGGGAAACTTTCTTGGTATGCAAATGGCTTGAGGAAGTTGGCCCCTCTGGGTCCAGAGAAGCCGCTCATGACATCAGCACAGAGAGCATATGGTGACTCTGTTCTTGTCTTTCACTGGCTGCTGAGATTCCAACCAGGAGCCCATTAGCTCTCTACTCTGCCAGTTAGTATTGATCAAACAGCCCCAGACGTCCTCCTCCCACGAGGCAGGAAGGGGACCGTCATCTGTCACGGGTTCACCAGCGGGACTGTATTGGAGCCATGACTCAAAGGAAAGATGCCTGTGGTAGATCATCAGCTGCAGCAACCATTCACCAGTCAGCCAATCTGGGGGAAAAATGCTATTGGGATTGGGGTGGGAAATTAACAGCAAGTTCTGAAGGAGTGATAAGAATCGTGGAGACTCAGAAGTAAAGAAGAAAAGATAAAAAAAAATTAGGCAAGGAGTCCGTGGTAGAAAGTGGACCTAGTGAATCCCAGGGAGGAGACAAGTAGCGAGTGGAAGAACCAAGGAGGCCAAGCGCCAGCACTGGGAACCACAGTACCCTCCAGAAGGAAAGTGTGAGGGGGGTGGATTGTGCCGTCGTCGTCAGCCGTTCTCACGGAGACCTCATGTCCAGCAGACCTCGTGGTGCCCACTTTGCCTTCGCTCCGATTCACTACTGCAGCCTCTGTGTGTCCGTCTGCTGGCCCTGTATCAGACAACATTTTGTTATGACCCACAGGGTTTTCTTTGACTCGCTTTCAGCAGTATATTGCCAGGCCTTTTTTCCTGGTCTGGAATCTCCACAGAAACCTGTGCACTGTGGGTGACCCTGCTGGTATTTGAGATAACTGTGGCCTCCCCTGTACTTCAGCCTGGACCTCTGTCTCCTCTTCTCCTCTCCCTTGTGAAAGTTTGTGTATGCACAGAGTATATGTATGGAAGCGGTGGGCACCTGCACGGGTCGGTATGTTTGTTTCCCATTGGGTGTTTGTTGTTGTTATCGTTTTGTTTTAAATTCTAGAAGAATAGCTCTAAGGCATAGCATCCTAATCAGACCCCAGCTGTCACTGCTATTCCACAGGGGCCATTTGCAGAGCTCCCAGGGTAGCTGGGGCTCCTGCCTGCAGCCGTGTGAGGATGGAGGATCCCTGCATGCCCCCCGGCTTGCTGACCCCCTGACGGTGCATGAATGGTGGAATGCTCGGATAATGGTGCATGTCAACCCGCCATGGATATTCTTCCTACGTCCCTATGACGAAATGACTGTCCAGATTCACCAGACTCTTTCTCACAGGAGGTGTGTGTGCCCCTTGATGGTCCCGGCCTTGTGGAGTTCTTTCTCAGATAACCAGAAAGTGTTCTCTTGCCTGTAGAAAGTAAGGCAGCAGCCCTGAGTAAAAGGATCCAGGTTGCTAATCTGAGTTGTGACTCGCCCTCAGGCTGAATGTTCTCATCTGTAAAATGGGAGTGATCCTGCCACCCCACCTCGGAGAGTGGCTGTGAGGACCCAGCACATGGTGTAAAGGACCCCATCTGTAGCCGGTACTTCACGGTTGATTGGTGACTTCAACAGTTACCCTTTCCTTTGATCCTCTTGGCAACCTGCCTGCTACTTTGCTCCTCATTTTACAGATGACGAAACTGAAGCTGACAGAGAAGTGACCAGCCACAGCTGCATAGCTAGGAAACGGTAAAGCCCGGGGGATGCACATTTTCTCTTTTCAAAGTCGGCATCAGTTCACCCTGGACTCAGTGCTATTGGCTCCATGGCTTCTGCTCGTTGGCTTCCTCCCCGTCTCCACCTCCCCGAGACCTCTGCAAGTGTCCTGTACTGCACTAACCGGCTTCCGTTTTGTTCCTCCCCTCTCCCTGCCTCTCCTGGCCCGTAGAAGAAAACACCAGCAGCCCCGACAAAGAAGAGCAGCTCCACCTTCAACATCGTGGGGACCACCTACCCCATCAACCTGGCCAAGGATACTGAGTTCTCCGCCATCTCCAAGGCTGCCGCCCCCAGTGCCTCCTCAACGCCAACAGTCATTGCATCACCCAAGGCCACCTATGTGCCGGAAACCCCCTCTGAGACCAAGACCTACAACAGTGTCAGCAAGGTTGACAAAATTTCCCGCATTATCTTTCCTGTGCTCTTTGCCATATTCAATCTGGTCTATTGGGCCACATACGTGAACCGGGAATCAGCTATCAAGGGCATGATCCGCAAGCAGTAGGTAGGGGTTGTGGCCCGCAGCCAGAGCACTGTATACCCTAGGAAGCATTCAGGCACCCAAACCCCAGGGCTCCCCTTCATGTTTCACGATTCTTCTTTTTAACCTTCCACCAAGCTGTGACTCTCAAATATATTTATAGATCTCAATTTAAACAAAACAACACAACACCCACAATAACAAAAAGAGCGATGGTCCTTCTAATATGGCTGAGTGTGCTCCGTAAGAGCCAAACACTGCCGTGTGTCCAGCTGCCTGTCTTAGTCTACCAGTTTCCCCCAGCCGAGGGCACTGCATGTGTTTTATTACACTCTGCTCACCACAGAAAGAAAAGGTACCCCACTCCTTGGAGTGGGAGCCTTGGCTGTCCAAGAGGTCCAGATTGAGGACAATCGCTGCTTGGTCCAGATCAAAGGACACTGACCCACTAGGAAACGAGGCTGGAGTTCCGTGGAGTTCTGCTCGCCACTTCCCTGCCTAAAGCAGAGCCCACCAGATACAGGTACAGGTACGTAGGGGAGCCAGTGCTAACCTTTGAGTTTCACCCCCAACTCTTTCCCTGGCTTGGAAGTTAGTGGCCCACTTCTGTCCACCATGTATGGCCACAACACAGAGCTAATGGAGTGGCCTGACCTGGCACCACCATGGCTCGTGGCCGGCCATGGCCAGCTTCTCAAGCCCAGAGTCATTACCAGCGTATGCCACATCTTTAGAAAAGCCTTCAGCCCTCAATCGCTTTGCCTCCCTTGCAGCCAACTGGGCAACGCCTAATTTGGATTCATCACCACTTGCAAATCTTCAAGAAAAAGGACCAAGCGTTTTTAAAAAAACCAAACCAAACCAAAAAGGTACAAATATAGAAAAACCCGTATTAAATGCCTAAACAAGAATTTGGAAAGACGAGCAAACTAGAAAAACCACTTCCCTGCCAGGGCAACTAGTCAAACACTAGAAAGGGTAGGTTATCCGTGACTGGAGTGGGAGCTGGAGTTCAGAGTCTGGGTCAAAAGAGAGGTCCACTGGCAGGCCAACCACATCACCCACTCCATACCTGTCACACTCCCGAAGCCCAGCCCACGCCTGGGAACTGGGTTCCCGTTGTGTCAGAGACCTCTGGACCTCGACTGATGCTCATTCCAGAAGCGATGAATTGGAGATCTGTACAAATATCTCTAGTTGGTTTCTGCATGAACTAAACCATTAACTTTATTACCTGTTTTATAATATGTTATTTATAAGCCAGTTGATCTCATTTGTTCTTAATCTAAATGTAAGTAAAAGGAACAGAAAAACTTGGGAAATTTTTGTAAGATAGACAAACTGAATCCTTACGTTTGAATGCCTTGCCAAGGCTCCTTACAACTGTAATCCAGAAGTACTATGCACCCCTTTCAACCTCCAAAATGAAGCTAGAGCTGAGAATCCAGGTCCACCCTGACCTCAGAATCAGCACAAACGTGGTCGACTGGCTGGGTCTTGAGTGTCGGCCAAGGAGACAGCTTGGAATAGTGATGGCGCAAGTGCGTAAGAAGGCAGCCCAGCCACTGTGGATCGGAATAGCCACATTAGCCACGAGTGGCCCAGAAACCCCAAGGGAGAGCCACAGATGGTACCACAAGCAGATCCCCACCTCCTGCAGCCAGTTTGATGACTAGCTGCTGGTTGCCTTTTCACCCAACTTCCCCTGCCTCCTGCTTCCTTGCCATTGCCAGGACAATGCATGCCAGCCCCATCCTTTCTAAGACTGTGTCTGTAGGTACATTCATGAATAGAAGAGTATAGTCTTGTGGGTATGTGGGGACATGGGGGTGGGATGGGTGGGCTGTTAATGATTGTCTCAGAAATTTAGAATGGAAGTCTGACCTTTGCCTCTCCGTAGAAATTGTGTTTCCAAATGCTTTGGTGCATTGTTTAGTGGCTGTTTATTAAACTCTTTCTGAATTGTACTCAGACTGGACAGTTCTTTTAGTTGCATTTTACTTAACAAATGGACATCACTAAGCCCTTGACTTTCATCCCCTCTGTTCTTGTTCCACCTTTACGTTCCACTTCTTTGTATCATTAGAATAAACTCTAAGGCAAGTATTTCTAGAATAAGGGACTTATTACAATAATGTGGAATAGAGTTCACATAAAAAGATTGGTGTGATTGATCCAGGGGCCTCATCACTCAATGTGACAGAAGGAAACAGCTATATTGCTTCCTCTACTAAATCTACCCACTCCCAGGAAATACAGGAAGGTATTTTCAGCGCAATTCTAAAGGCTTTCTCTTTTCTGTCCATTACTATTTCCTTTAGGCTATAGTTTCTTTAAGCAATAATTATTAGAATGGAAGTGTGTGTCTGGTTGATTGAGCCACGTGTTGGCAAATGGAAAATGACCTCCTATTTTTTACAGAGTAAGAAAAAATATTGGCACTAATCTCATGAGACATGTTCTCGAGGGATGGGGCGAACCCCTTGGGAAAGCATTTCACATCATATAAAAGATTGTTTTTCTCTGTAATAGAAATCAGTGCTTGGACAATCTCACCCTAGAGACGCATTGTATCCCTGTGATCATCTGACGGGCGATGCCCTGTTGCTGCAGAAATCCCGCGGCCCCTTACCACTTCACCTGCACCCCAGGACATCCACACTAACAAGTGGTGACCTCACTTGTAAAGCAACCTGACAGCCAACCTTGAAAGGTGGTTTCCTTGAGAGACTTCTGACATTGTGTCGACTCTGAAAACCATTCCCTTGGTCTTAGGGGAGAGCCCAAACTATTCACATCAGCACTTCTGTTGCCCAAACCCCTAGAGATTGAAGCCCAAGCTGGGTTCAGTACCTCTGGACTCTAGTATTTTATGGTTTTTGGTTCATGGGGTCCAAGATACACCTAGAAGCTAATTGGGGTACCAGCAGCTGCTAGTCGAGCTCGCTACCTTGTAGGAGGTGCCCGGTAAGTAGGAAACGAGTGAGTGAGTGCGGATGAGCTCTGGCCGAGTGCTGGCTATCCCGTGCTGAGGAACTGCGCTGTGTATGCACAGGGCCCGCGGCCGGAACCCAGCAGCTGCTCTGCGGGCGGAAGATGCTGCCTCTGAAAACCCGCCGGAGGGTCAGCTGTCCATTGGTTCCAACTCAATGGGACTCTGCAACAGTGACCCCTGGTGACATGGTTGGTTTTGTGTTAAGCTGCTAATCCAAAGGCATTACGTCTCCAGAGGTTCTACTCCACCAGTAGCTCCATGGAAGAGAGATGGAATCGGTCTCCTATTAAGATTTACACCCTCAGAAATCCCATGTCGAATTGCTGTGCTTCGGAAATGGCTTGATGGCAGTGAGGTTTTTCTGGTTTAATGAACCTCAGGGATACAAAGGGGAGGGTTTCTTCAGGCTGATAGTAGAGAGGAGTCTTGTCAAACTGTGACCAATGGAGAAAAACGTGAATAAACAAATATTAATGTAGCATTTAAGAGCAGTTCTAAGAGTATTGCAATACTAGTGAATGTGCTTCGTTTGAAGTCCTTTTCAAGAACTCTTAGTTGAACGACTGCTTGTTCCTGTCGGCTTTTGAATGTGTTGGCTTCACTTAATGTCCTGGTAGTTCCCAGTTATAGAGTAGTGGGGGCAGGAAACGGTGGCCGGCCTGGTCACCAGGCCCCAAACGTAGCCCCAGGCGTTTCCAGGCTGCGTCTAGGTTAGCATGTCCTGTGGAAGGTTTGCATGCCTGGATCTGGAAGAGACCTGTTCTGCCCATGAAATGCCCCTCAAAAGAATAATCCACATGTATGTAAATACAAAAAGCACTTTATTCCAGAGACTATCCACGTGAAGACTTTCTCCCTCAGTAGGAAGGTGGCGAGGGGAAAAGCCCTGAGTCCCCCTGTGCAATTGTTTTTAAGGCCTTCCTGGGTGCTACTGTCAGGGTGGGGAGATTGGGAGCATGGTTGGTGGGCTGGGGGATCAGCCATGTGGGTCGGCTTTTGAAGGGCTGGCTACTTTGCCCGCCTTTACTCTTTTTGTGTCACATAGACACTAGTTAATTCTTTACTTTGCAAGGACACATAAGACTTTACCTGGCACATTTGTGTTTGCTTTAAGCTAAGAATTTTTATGGCCCGCTTCTGGTATTAATGGGTTTTTTTAAAAAAAAATGGGGTTTATATCCTCAACAGGAGGTGGAAGGGGCAAGGAGGGTATTGGAAGGGTGGGAGAGAAAAGATGCCATCGGGGGCAATGCTGTCCAGGCTCTGGAGTTGGGAGCACAGGTCTCTTCCCATTAGCATTAACAGCTTCCGATTTCACAGGCCTCCCTTAACCTGAAGACAGTACTCGTGGGTCTGCTGAGGTGAGGCTGATGGCACCTCCCCTTGTTGACCGGAGTGAGCTGTCCTTTCAGCCCCCCCGCTGCCGATTTTGCAGTTCCATCGGAGGACATCCTGGATCTTGGTTTGCCTCAGATCCAACAATAAAACACTGTGGGGAAAGTCAGCCAGGTGGATCTCATTACAGTCGTGTGATGTTGGCCGGTTACCGCCCCTGGTCTGAGACTTCGTTTCCCCATTTATAAAAAGGGGCCCTGGGTTTCTCTGGGGGACACCTTGCTACAAATGTCACCACTCTGATTCTGCTGTTGCGCTCACAACATCCCACTTCAATGGTACAACCTTAACCTTAACCTTAACGTTCCGTTCTCTGTGACACGATTCAGATAGGCTGACAAATGCAAGAATTTTATTAAAGACCAAGTGAGGAGAAATTCATTGCCATACAGTTGGAATTGACTCAGCTGACTGTCAAGTGAGTTTTCTGAAGCTGTAAAGGCAAATGAGGGGACCGTCCCTCTTTCCTGTGAGGAGCAGCTGGTGGCTTGGGATTGCCGGAGAGGCCCTGCCAGTGGTTAGCAGCGTAACTCCCGAAGGCCGCCCTTGGCCATGGCCTCACCGTGTCAGAACCCCAGTGGAGAACCACTTAGGATTTGTTTTCTACTCGAAGACAGTAGGATTTGAAATTTGAGCGCCAAGCAAGTGGTCCTGAGGTAAGCTGTGAGCTCAGTGGGAAAATGTCCCTTTTCTATTTCCTATTTTCCTATGTCCTATTTTCTATTTCCTGCTCAGAAGAGAATAGAGACATAATTATGGAAAGAATTTCTCTGTACTTCTTTTGAGCAAGTCACCAGACCT